GTTGGTTGGGGGCTGGGAATGGACTGAGGAGGGCCTGGGGGAAGTTGGTTGGCAGTGGAAGGTTGCCTTTGGGAGCACATTGACCAACAGGGGGCAGCTCCTGCATTGAGCGTCTGCCCCCTGGTGGTCAATGCACGTCATAGCAACTGGTCATTCCCAGTTTTTCTGCTGTTAAGGTCAATTTGCATATTACCCTTTTATTAAAAAGGATATCACCCCAATTAACTTAATAAAGTTAAAAAATAATCTCCTGGTGCAGTGCAATAACTCTCAGGTAATACCTGGAATAGAAAGATTGACTTGACAGTGTAACCAAATAACTGTTATTTAGCCTTGCATTTTCAGAAAAACATTGCAATAATGGCCTAAGGTCCCAAAGGTTATTTTATAAGTAAAATCAAAGTCATTTTATAAGTAAAATATATGTAAACCAAAGAGATTTTAGAGGTAAATGGGGCTTAAGTGATCATTTTCACTTAAAATCTTTCATCCCTAATCTTTTGTTCCTCTTATGATCAAATTAGAAAGATACTCAATGACACTCCATGTGTAAAGTAGATACTGACATCTATAATAATAAAAGCATAAGGTGTACATCAACTGAACAGCCGAACAGCAGAATGGCTGAACAGCAGAATGACCATCCGGCCGACCACGCTATGACAGGCACTGGCTCCAGGCCAGCCAAGGTGGGTGCAATGCAATTGGTCGCGAGGCCCTGCCATCACCCCTTAATTGCCCCACAGATGGAGGCCCAGGCCACCGGCTGGTGGGGCAGTCAATTGGGGGGCTCCATGATCACCCAAAGAGGGAGGCCCAGACCACCAACCAACAGGCTGTGGTGAGTGGGCGGGGCCTCTCTCTGCAGGGCAACCAATTGTAGGGCTCCCAGACTGAGAGAAAGTTCAGGCCGGGCTGAGGGACAGTCCCTCCACCCCCCCGAGTACACAAATTTCGTGCACCGGGCCTCTAGTTCTCTATATTAAAAGATAATAAGACAAGTATGTAAAGCACAGCATATGGAATATAGTCAATAATATTGTAGTAACTATGTATGGTGCCCAGTGGGGGAACACTTTGTAAAGTATGTAATTGTCTATATGCTAAGCTATACACCTGAAACTAATACAAAATAAATAAAATATAAGTAAAAAGAGAATAACAATGACATAAGTTACAGAAATTCCTCTTACTGTTGCCTTAATATGTATTTGTGGTTCTACTTGAAGTTCCTTATACCATACCTCTTTGGCCATAAATAAATAATGTTCAATGAGTTATAGACAAGGGCTGATCAATTATGAAAACTTTATTCCTATAAAGAACTGTTCCTATGGGTCTAATATTACCAATGCTGCTATTCCAAATACATGGACCTTTAAAAATACCACCTTAAGAAAAATGCTCCTAAAAGAGCAAGAGTCACCTTGATCTAAAAACTATTTATTCACATTGATTAATGCAGATATCTGTCTTTATCCTTTCAATCTTTTAATGTCTGCTACAAATAGTATTTTGGAAAATCTCTGAGTTGCTATCATAAACCTGACTTGAGATATTTGGTGATTGTATCTTTGCAATAATGTATTATGGAATCTCTTTTCTATAACATACTTTTTATTTATCACCAACAACAGAAGACACATGTTTTATTACATAATCACAAAAGCTTAATCCTTTTAAGTGGAATTTTAATTAATCATAGTATACTATAAAAATGTTATTCATACCTCTCATTATCAGTATTTAATACTATATACTGATGGATGGATAAAAACTTACAGGAAAAATCTAAGTTCTATACCTACAATTAATGAAATCATAATTAATTTTTCAGGGACCTAACAAGAATAAAATCATTCAAATACATTCTCAGAGGTTGAACACTTCAGATTACTAGAAGGAAGAGATGTACCTCTTGTTCATAATAGAGAAAAAAGAAAGAAAAAATCACGTAACAAATATATAAGTGTTTTTAACTTAGCTAGAAAAAGATAACTAAGATTATAAATTTTATGAATTTCTGTGTTCTGTATGAAATAAATGGCTATATGCTTAACTCTAGAAATCATTTTTAGGTAATGTATAAAGATATTTTATTAAAAGTATAGTCATTAAATTGTGAAATAAATAGTGAATTAGTATCTAATAAAAACAATCTTTAAGAATATTAGTCGCCTTTAAAAAATTTTATATTCTAGTTCTACATTCTTTTTATTATTTTTTAAGAAGCATATTGTTATTTTAAATCTAATACCTATTGGATATTATTTATAGTAAAGTCAAGTAATATAAGGAGAAATAGATGGCTTTACAGGTTGAAACCAAATGAGAATCTTTGAAGTGATTAACAGATAGTTTGCAGATCAAATAAAATTATACTGACATGAATTATTTCAAAAAGTGGATTAAATAGTATATTAATACATTCTTTTTAATAAAAGTAAATTTTAATAAATTTCCAAGCTAATAAAAATTTATTATAATATAATCATTTTTTTAGGAATCTCTATAATTCAAGAAAGTCCACATGGCCCCAGACATTTAAAATAATTAAAGTGTTATGTTTTTAAGAAGAGTTTTGAATAATTCTTTATTAGATTTTGCCTTTTGCTATTTCTGTATTCCTAAGCAAGTCATTTAATTTCTCTGAGTCTTGGGTTCTTTCTTTGTAAAATAAAGTTAATAATAATAATAATAATAACAAGATATTGTAAAGGGGTGGGAGTTAAATAAGTTGAATTAAGTAAAAAAAAAAGTAATACTATGTCCTTGTTGCATTTTATGTAATACTTATTTCACAGGAGTTACTCAATATATTTATAAAAGAAAAAAAAAAGAAGGAAGGAAGGAAGGAAGGAAGAAGGGGTGGTATAGGGAATTGGTATGTGGAAGGAAGGAAGGAAGGAAGGAAGGAAGGAAGGAAGGAAGAGGGAGAGAGGGATAAAAGTAGGGAGGGAGAAAGGGAAGGAAGTAGATAGTCAAAGGAAAGAAGGATGTTTTCTTAATTATGAGTAACTAGGGGAAATGGAATGTATATAGAATGACATATTGCATCCAAAATAAAGAAATAGAAGAAATAAGAGGTGTTTACATATATGAGAGAAGGTATAGATGGGTTATAAAAGGAAAACTTAGAGAAAAATAAGTTGAGAACAATCTATATAGATAAAAGCCCAGTGAATGGACCAGCAGAACAACCTGAACGACCAGATCAACCGGTGGCTATGATGCATACTGCGGCAGCCAACCAGCCTGATCCAGGCCCTGATTGCCCCCTCCCACCCGCAGTCCCTCTCCCTTGCCAGCCTGGGCTGATGGGATTCCACCATGCATGAATTCATGCACTGGGCCTCTAGTAAACATATAAAAGGCTTGCTGTTGAGATGTGGAATTTTTAGATTATCTCATTCTATTTCCTTTATCAATTAAGTCAGAATTTTTGTAACAGTTATCAATTTTATTTGGAATATACATGTCTCTTTAAATATCCTCCAACCACCACATCTCATAAGGATTTGTTGATAAACTTTTCACCCAGAGTAATAACATACCTTGCCAAGAGGAAACTGTTCTATCTTAGGTCAGGTAAAATAATACTTGAAAAAAACATTATATAAGAATTTCATAAGTTAAGAGTAACTATAAATAAACTATTAAAAAGGAAGTAATCCCATAGTTCCATGTGGTAAATAAAAGAAAATGTTAAAATGTTTCCCTTAATAGTGAACCTGCATTTTTGGAGGCTGTTGAGAACACAATCAGTGTGAGATATTGGTAACACAAGGTCAAACTGGTAAAAAGATTTGTGAACTAAGAGACACTTGAATCAATATAAAAGGCTCCTATTCATACTGGAAATAATCACACTAAAATCAACAGAAAATAAATATAATATTTTAGCCATATGGTGAGCCAAAATGGGTCCCACGATATGATAAATTTGGTGCTATGATAAGGAAGAAATTTAAATTAAAACATAGGCAACATGTAAACCAGCAACAACAAAACACATGATCCAGGTTTTCCTGTAATTCTGGAATCATTCTAAAGTTCCTTTAACATTTTTTTATGGTGTTCACAGTCCACACATGTTATTAAGATCAATTAGTATTTATTGAACAGCCACAGGTCACATGGCACTAAATGAGGTGTTTGGGGCACAGAACACATCACAGTGGTGATCTTAGCTACGTGACATTTTGCTTGGTGATGGAGGATATAAAAGCAAGCATTTGAAGCTGGCCTTTGCTCCTGGTCCCAGCGTGAATTACATAATATCAGTTGACATCTTCTTCCTGCTCCAAGGACTACCTCTAAAATGCTGCACTTCTGAGTAACAATCTTAGAAAAAAATGTATCAGAAGGCTTTGATCCATGTCCAGGAGGCACTCATGCAAAAGTTTAGATTCTCTGCTATTTCTATGAAATATGACAGTTTTATTAAGAAAAATACTTCAGAGTTATTACCACCACCTAATAATGTATTCTCATATTACAATGTGTTATAGGATTGAAAAAAAAAGATTAAGAAAATTTGGTGGTTACCATCTCATAAATATCAGAAAGTAATACCCATTAAGATATCACAAAAGATAGTGCACATTTGTGTTGCAAAAACAATTCTGCAAGTTTACATCATCTAGAAATGTTCATTTTGTGCTTTCCAATGAGATGATATCTTTAAATCATTTTCTGTACCTTCAATTGTTTTCACTGCTCATGATAAGAAATAAAGCATCAGAAAAATAATAGAATTAGAAAATAGTTTGAAACTGTGGAAACTGTAGCTTTCTAATAATGTTTTTGAAAATGCATATGACTTTTGGTAATTTTTGAAATCTGACAGATTTCACAAATTTAAGGTAGCCATCACAATTAGAGTAAACTGATTATTCTTTATTTCAGCCAGTGTATGCCTAATTTCTGATTGGTCCTTTTTCATATCCTTGAGGGTCTCACTAAATCTTCAGAGGTTTCTAGAAGATTCTTGAGTAACCTTATAACCGTGGTTTTGAACTCTATATCCAGTATTTTGCCTTCTTCCATTTCTTTCATTTGTGACTTGTTTCTTTGTCTCTGCATTTTGGCTGCTTCCCTGTGTTTGTTTCTATGTACTGGGTAGCTGCTAAGTCTCCTTGAGTTGAAAGAGTGGTCTTGTGTGGCTTGTGTCCTACAGGGCCCAGTGACTCAGCCTCCCCAATCACCTGAGATGGACCCTCTTGGTGCACCTCTTTGTGGGCTGTGCGCACAGTCTGGTTGTAGTTAACACTTGATTGCTATTGGTATCACTGATAGGAATTGACCTCCAGGTCAATTAGCTGTGATGACAAGCTGTGTCTACAATGGAAGACCTGTTGCACAGGAGACATCCTTATGGGGCAGGATTTGTTTCAGTTGGTCTTTGGTGCTCACTGAGTCTGCCCCTTGAGTGTGTCTCTTATGGATGTGAAGAGTTGTAAACCAGTATGGCCTCACTCTGACCACTGGGTACACTAGCTCTTGGGTCTCTAAGGAGGTGCAAGGTTAGTCAGTGTCTGGCTCCACCCAGCAGGAGCTACAGAGAGATCTGCAGATTCCTCCCTTTTTATGGGGTTTGGAAGTGCACAGATGAGGCCCAGCTTGAAGCAAGGCTGGCTGGGCCTTGGGCCTTCTTTTGGAATCTCTGGGGCTCTCTGACCCAGTTGCAGCTTGACAGGTTTTAGGCAAAAGGACAGGCCATTCATATGCAAAAGACAATGCAAACAGCTTGGGTGGGGTTGTAAACTGGGTGGAGTGAGGTCTCTGGAAATCACCAGGTTGGAAAAAGCAGCAATGACTGCCCGTCAGTCCTGAACTGGAGAAGTCCCGGGTTCTCTGCGGCCCATGCCCCCATGCAGGAACAATGATCACTTTGAGCCCCTCTAAGAGAAAGCCGCCCTCACATTCCTGTCCTGATGCCAGATAGTCCAGTTTCTCCCCATATGTGCCTGGGCCCTCCAGAGTCTCGCCCAGAACTGGAGTTCAGAGCAAGTGAGAGCTTGTATCTCCCTCCCAATTAAAAGAGCAGCATATCCAGGTGCCAGCACTTTCTGTGCCTCTGCACCTCCTTCTCCTCTCTAGTTGTGGAACTTCCACTCAGCCAGCCTTCCCATGGTTCTGGGTGGTAGTTGTTCTGTCATTTAGTTGTGGTATTGATGTGGTTGTGAGAGGCAGCAAGCACAGGTGCTTTACCTATGCCGCCATCTTGGTTCTGTCCCAGAATTATCTACTTCTTATAGGGAAGCTTTTATCTTTAGCATTATAATAAAAATTTATTTAAATGAAAGACATGAATACCCTCTTTTAACCAGCATTTTTTTTCTTTTAGATAAACATTGATAGAAAAGTTAAATTTTTCTAAAATTACAATATACTTTTACACCACACTAAAAGAATACAAATAGATAAATTCATAGATTTAATTTAAATAGGTCTATTAAAATTCTGCCTCATTGCTTCCTTTTTTAAAGCTGCATTTCAGTAAAGCAGAGTAATTGTGACAGATATTGCAAAAGCCCTGAGTATGAAAGACATGAATTCAAATCCTGGCTCTAGTATGCCTTTGCTAGGTAAGCATGGAAAAGTTACTAAAAATCTTAGTGCCCACTTCTGGTACTAAACCTTAACCATGGTTTCAGTGAAGGGGGAGTTTCCCTGAGCACACCTTTTCCCTTTTCCCTCTTCCCCGTGTGGGTAACTTGTTCCTCTGTGGGTAACTTGCACCCTCAACTCAGCTCTGTCAGTTTCTCTATCGAGATCAAACTGCCTGCAAGTGGCACAGCTGCTACTTCTCCTCCATGCAGACAGGCGAAGGGTTCCCATAATTCTAGGGGTGAAGTATTAGCAAATCCACTTGGCTAACAGACCTAAAGCCAAGTGCTGCAAACTGGCCCCCATCAATTTTTTTTTTAAAAAAAAGGTCAGATATTGGTCTCCATCTTTATATTTTGTTTTAGTTCTCCATTTATGAACCCAAGAAAGAAAGAGGAGGGTTAATATTTGCAGGTTCTCTTGAATATTCACTTTTGTCTTTTTTTGTTTGTTGATCACCTAGTGCTCACCAGCATGTCCATGGATGTGTTTCAGAGACTTACTTCATTCTCCCATCTACCCTTGCAGACACACACATTTAGCTTTATTTTTAAAATGTGGAAATGAGGCTTATCAAAGTTAATGAACTTGTTCAAGGCAATCAAGTTAATAATGGGTTTGTTTAACTTCAAACCCCACTCGGACCTTCTTGCTATACTGCATTTCCTAACATTTGGATGGCCCTGTACAATGCTTGGTATCAAGAGATATCAAAAAGCTTTAGAGTACTGTATTAATTTTCTATTGTGATGTAACAAACTGCCTCAAAATTAGGGGGTTAAAACAACACACATTTATTAGCTCACAGTTCTGTTGGTCAGAAGTCTGTGTAGGCTTGGCTGAGTTCTATGCCTGGAGAGTTCACCTGGGATGAACTCTCCATAGAGGTTATGTGAAAGAATCTGCTCTCCAGTTCACACAGTTGTGCCAGGATTCAGTTCCCTGAAGCTCTAGGTTGGCTGGCTGCAAGCTGGGGACTGATTTCAGATTCTAGAAACCACCTGCATTCCTTCTCACATGGCCCACTCTTCTAGCACTGAGCACACCAAAAAAAAAAAAAAAAAAAAAAAAAAAAAAAAAAAAAAAAAAAAAAAAAGCTCTCTGCTTTTAAGAACCTTGAGTAATTAGACTAGGTCTACCTAGGTAATCTAGGACAATCTCCCTCCTTTTTAAAGTTAACTGATTAGTAAACTTAATCACATTTGTACAGTCCCTTTTGCTATGTAACTTGACATATTCAAGGGCATGACACCTCATTATTTTTAGAGCCCCAGGAATTAGGGAGAGAAATGTTTTGGTAGTGGGGGTCATTCTTAAAATTCTTCCTACCACAAATCCCGTTATGAGATATGATGTATTAATTTTCTATCATTACCATAATAAATTACCACAAGTTCAGTGTCTCGAAACAACACAAATGTATTATCTTCCATTGTGTATGATAAGTCTAACCTGGGTCTCACTCAGTTAACACCAGAGAATTGGCAGAGTAGCAATCTCTCCTGGACACTCGACAGGAAAACCTTTAGCAGAATCTCAGGGCCACCCATTCTTTAGCTCTGACCTTCTTTTTCCATCTTCAAAGCCAGCAACTTTGCATTTCTCTGACAAGTCTTCTGTAGTCATATTGTTGCTGGTGGAAGTGGGGTTCTTGCAGTGTCTTGCAGAAAAGCATCTCCAGGGACTCACAAGAGAGAATGAGGTCTGGTGGCAAAATGTATTCAGGAAGCAAAATTAAAGAAGTTTCCCAGTGTCCCATCTCTGTCCATCCCACCATGGAAAATCAGGGCCAGAAATAGAGTCAATGTCCAGAGATTCTGTGCCATATTAAGCTTAGTCCCAGTCCAGCATCAGGTTACCTTGGCTTGTGTTAAGCCTGCAATCTGCTGCTTTGCTGT